GTTTGACGTAAACGAGTAAACATACAAACATAAAAAAAACTTCGCATGTATATTAATAGTACGATAATAGAATTATTAGCTCTCTTAAGTCATTTACCACACAAACAGGTAGGTACTATTCAATCACTTAAACATGTGTGATGAAGTGTTCGTTCCAAAATATATTTTTGTATGGAGGAAAATGACCGATACCGGCTACATAATACCCGAGGCCCCATTACCTTTCTCCCCAATCTCCGACTACCCCACAATCCTAAAATTCCTAATCCCCAAAGTGCCGGTAAAGCATTTGAAACGCCTTTGGTGTTTCAGGTGTCCGATTGCTTACGATCAGGTGGTCCGGCTTCTTGTTTACCGGCGTCACTACATTAGTATAAAACGAAGTCGCTATCCGCCGTCTGTCTGTCCCGATGTATGCTTAGATCTTTAAAACTACGCAACAGATTTTGATGCGATTTCTTTTAATAGATAGAGTGATTTTTAAGGAAGGTTTACATGCATATTCGACCGGTGCGAAGCCGGGGTGGGTAGCTAGTATACCATAAAAACAATCTAGATTGCCGGTTATTTCCACTCCACGTTTCCCCTTCAAGATTAGTTGCTAAGCATATCAGCATAATTTTAGATTATTACCCTTAACGTTGCTAAAAAAATATGCAAAGGTAATGTTTCAAACTCCGACCGATAGTTTTAGGCGATAACACATTCAACCAACAATGAATTTTGTTTCAGATCTAATTCTGTAACTCACTGATATCTAGCTTTCAGCGTTTCAGGAATGTGTTAGATAGAATTTATTATACACTAGCTGTTGCCCGCTATTTCGTCTGCGTAGAATATGATTCCTGTTTTATCCTTATATACTTACCAAAATTTCATCAGCATCCGTTCAGTTGTTTCAATGTGATTGACGGACAAACATCTAAACAAAGAAACTTTCACATTTATAATTTAAGTGTGATATCGTTAACTAAAAATCGCGGGTTACTCCCGTGAATATACTGAGAAAAGCTCTACTAGTTTCGAACCACACAGCGCTTGGCCGTGGTCGCGCAGCCAACTGACATCGCCGCGACCGCGCACGCTGCTCATGAGGAAGAAGCTCTACTAGTTTCGAATCACAGACCCCTCTGTGGTTCGAAACTAGTAGAGCTTTTCTCAGTATATTCACGTGAGTAACCCGCGATTTTTAGTTAATTTAGTATGTCTCACGATAGTTATTATAAAAACATGTGATATCGTTGTCAAAAATAGTATTACGAATAACCTGTTTTTACTTCAGAATAAAAACATTAACGTAATATTATTTCATGTCTTTATTTTTCATATAGTTAGACCATACAAAAGTTTCAGTAACCGCTGTAATTAAAATAAATGTTTTAACATTGAAACTGATAATAATTCTGAAACGTTTCGCGAACCAATTTGCTAATGACAAGTGAGACAGAAAAATGCATTATCTTTTCAAAAATGCATTACTTAAACTTGTTAATGAGCTTCAGTTTCATGTAAATTTCAAGATTTTTATGTTCTAAAAATAGATATGACGGTAAAAACTAGGTTTTGTGTAACCTAAATACATTTTTAATCGTTTCGAACAGAGTTTACTTATGTACCTATAAATGTTTGAATTTTTTGAGCTGGTTACAGATGACTCAAGGTTGATTCATTTGTTTAAGTATTCAAGATGTTTCTAACTAACAAAAAACAAAGTAATTTACTAATTTTCTTAACTAGAAGTGACCTACTTTATGACTGAATTCGAAGAGTTGTTGGTCGTTTTGATTTACAAATTGAATAGGTAGGTATCGATATATTCGAGTTTCTTGTACATTTTGTGATGTTTTTAAGGCTTGTGCACGAATTGAATGTCATACTTTTAACACTTTGACTTGTTATCCACAAAATTAATGTTGATGGTTTGACTGTCTGAAAATGTGCCCGGTATATGGCAATAGGCTCACCCCCTATTACATGGGACTCATAACATAAATAGTAAAAAGTGGGTGGTACATTGTACAGTGGCATCAAGTGCTGTAATGTGCACCTCAGCCTACCTCTTCGGGGGTAAAAGGCTATTGCCATATACCGGGCACAATTCCAGACTCCGTGCTACCACTAAGATTTTTTTTAAACCCAGTTATACTTTCCCCGACCCGGGAATCGAACCCGAGACCCCTTGCCCGGCAGTCGCACTTGCGACCACTCGGCCAACGAGGCAGGCATTATTCACAAGTTTTACAAAAATGAGATCTCTATAAAATTTCCTCGAAAAATTCCAAGAAAGAAAAGTAAAACGGAAAACAATTAGAAATGTACAGACAGACACCGTCGTAAACACAAGGCGAGCGGCCAGCAACAGTTTTTCACAAAATTATTTTTGTACCATCTCTCGTCATAACCTTTGAACAACAGAAATTGAATCTTAGGTACTTGTCTTAAGAGCTTATTTGTAAGAAAGAACTGTTGTGCAAGGAGAATTGAACCTTATTGCACTTGGTATAAGAGTTTATGTAAGGTTATAACAGAAAGACAGTGGGTAGTATTCCGAGATAGCGTCAAAAAGGTTTTTCATAAACCAAATAATTTTACAAGTATATACATACAGAGTTTCTTTCGTTTTGATGGAATGATCAATCGTGTATATTTTTGTAGATGTACAAAACCCGTATTACCGTATTGCTTTACCTACCTATGTTTTCAGACTACAATCTATATCTAGTCTCTTCAATTGAATCGGTATACAGAGCCGCGGAGAATGTAAACGGTTACCGGGGCTCCGGCTCAAGTGCAGGAGTAGGAACGGGGTGGTTTTTAGTCAGTAAGAGTCTGACACTCCTTCCCGCCTCACCCAGACGGGAGCAGTCATTCGATGACTGTACCCTCCTTAAAAAAAGTCTCTTTTTTCTGCTCCGTCTGTAAATATCTGTGTGAAAAAATAACTATTCAGAAAATTGGTCATCATCATTAACAGCGCAACTAAAGTTGGGTGTCCTACAATCTTATGGGTGACAGAGCCATGCTTCAGCGCGAATGGGCTTGCTCAACCGGAGTGATACCACGTCCTCACAGAAAACCAACGTAAAACAACGCTTGCGTTGTGTTTCGTCGTGTGAGTGAGGTTACCGGAGGTCCAGTTACCATATTTTACGGGGAAAGAGTCACGAGCAACAGCTAGTGTACAATAAATATTAGTAAGATAGTCTCTTCTATTACCCGGCCCCAAATAGTGTTCTCACATTGAACCAAGAGCTCGATTCAATAAAACAATAAATCAGTCTTCGTTATCTATAAGTGCAAATACCTCTTTGATGTTTCAAGCATTAAAAACTTTTAATCTTATAAAAATAGAGAGCGATACCAGGTTATACCACTAGTACATTAAAGAAGAATCACCCTGTATATAGTCCCACTTCTGAATAAAGGCCTCTTCTCATACAGAGAAGGAAGCATTGATGAATACGCCTGCCCATAGCGGATTAGTGACTTCAGATTTGAGTTCACAATGAATTCCTTCACCATAATATTATGATGTCTATGGTAAAAAACTTGGAAAAAATCTATATAAGTATATCTACCTATTGGCTATGTGCGCGACGGTGGTGGATAAAACCAAAGATTAAAATAGTATTATTGATATCATTTAAGTGCAATTTATTCAATAGTTTTACTGTAAAATGAATATAATAATAAAAACCGGGTTTGCATCATCCGCATTTGTTTCCAATTTCTGCCGTGTTGTGCGCTGCGGTCGTTATCTGTCCGCCACTACTCGCTTTGTACATAGCCAATATATATAAATGAATTTCCGTTCGTCAGTCTCGCTAAAACTCGAGAATGGCTGAACTAATTTGGCTAATTTTGGTCTTGAATGACTTGTGGAAGTCTAGGGTAGGTGTAAAAGGCGAGAAAAAATATGAGAGGCAGTACGAAGTTTGCCGAGTCAGCCAGTTTCATATAATACTTGCCAGGTTTCGAACCCACAGTCTCTGGTTTGTGAAATTAAATACTTTACTGCAAAGTTACAATGAACATCTGGTATTCTTTATATATGGAATTTTGTGTTAATGTGTTAACTCGTAGAAGATTTATTGTGACTGTTTTAGTTAAAGTTCCTCAGTAAGAGCAATAGCTATTACGAGACCTGTGTGAGGTTATGGAGTTCAGTTTCAGTCGGTTTTTGTAGAAAGTAGTCAAGCTAGTTCTGATTCTTTTCTTATTCTTTAACTAGTTCTAGTTACATTGTACAAAATTAGATGCGTAATTTATATAATTGTGTCATTTCGGAACCAAACCTTACTTGTGTTTTTATTTCAGTGTTTCTAATACAGCTGTTTGTTTTATTAGCAGAATAGACCGGCTGCTGTGCGTTGTATCGCGGGCTCGATTCCCGTGCGAAACAAATACTTGTTTGTTCCACGTGTAAAAAAAAAATAACATATTTTTGATGGAGACGAACATCTTTATTCATCAGTTATGTTATTAATAAATGGGATTTGAGGGATTTACTGAAGAGTCTATAAGTTGTACTGAACGAATTTCGGAATTGAAAAACCTAAAAAAAATATTGACCGAAGATTTGAACCTTCAGAAGTATAATATTATCATAAATCATTTGAATTTGAATAAAAACAACAAGGAAATATATTCATTTATAATCAGTATAGTACTATGCTACAAAAACAACGTATATGTCACAAAACTAGACAAATGTCGTAGCAATGACGTAGCGCACGTAGCCACGCTACGCGTAAGTATTACCTATTTCAGCGCACGCGCCGGTCACCCATCACTCAGTCAGCCGCAGACCGTTGGTACAGACGTATCACCCCCGTGTTTTAAATAAAAATAATTACCGTGCCTAGAAAAAATACTACAATAAATACAAAAGTACAGTCAACATCAAAAACTTATATCTTTTCAGAAACACGTGCAATACAGACAATCGAATAAACAAGTGACAGTGTAGTGCAACGAAAAAAAAACTTTAAAACGTCAAAATGATGACGATCAGCGAAAGTCAGTTTTCTTCAAATAAAATGTCGAGTATCCACAAGATTAACGATAGGATCGTCCATAAGGATAGCTTCGCTGACACCAAGAGTTCTTCGAGTGTGAACAGCACCCTCATCACGAAGAGGGGGTTCAAGCCCTCCGATATGTACGACCCTCAGAAGAAGGAGTTCCTCACAAACCTCAGTTATAAGTTGTTCCCTGTAAGTTGGGTAAGTGTATCATGTCCTAATTGTGGTTGGCGCTTCTAACACACGCGTAGTGGGGTGGACACAGATATTGAGTAATTGATATTTTATTATTTATTTATACGTATTTATTTTTTTATGTTAGCGTTGAAAATATTAATTGATTTATTATTGAAATTAAAATATAAAAATTAACGGTCTGACAAATATTTTTGACGCTAACTGTACTTTTAGAAGGAAACAAAATTGTGTGATTTGTCCTTTTACACGTTCATTCATAAATCTGAAAATTTTTAGTAGGTACTTTAGTATAGTAGGTATGTACACATCGTCGTGGTGGCCCGGAGGTTTATGGCGCGCTTCTCATACATGAGGGTGCCGGTTCGAAACCTACCAACGGCATGTACCAATGTGACTTTTCCGATTTATATGTACTTTCTAAGATTATTTAGACACCACTGACAAACGGTGAAGGAAAACACCGTAAGGAAACCTGGACTTATAATTTCTAATTATAAGTTTGAAATCACCAACACGCATTGAGCAAGTGTGGTGATTAATGCTCAAACCTTCTCCGTGTGAGAAGAGGCTTTGCTCAGCAGTGGGCATTTATAGGCTGTTGATGATGAGGTATGTACACAAAACAATCACACCGACTACTCTTTATTTACACAGTCGGTTAAAAACAAATATCAAGTAACTAATTTCTGACAGAGACCGGATAACACACAGATGATTAACTGTGTAAATACACACATGTACCTATAGTTGAAGAGATGATTTTTAACATGTTTTCATTTGAAAGTCGCGATGATAAATACACTGATTCATCTTTGACTCAAATACTTCTCAGAATAACTAAGATATAACCTAGATACACTGTAAAACATAAAACCTCTCTATTTCAAGGCTGAAGCACTGAAAGTTTGCTGAAAAATTTATTGGCATATCTTTTTTAATATTTCATGTTGCTAGTTGAGTAGCCGTGAAACTTTGGTAGCCATTTGTGTATTTTTGTAATACATCTTGAAAGAATGAAGTTGTTTTTCCGAGATTCTGTGTTGGAAATACTTACCTGCTTTTCCTAAATATTGATTTTGGGAAAACACAGTGTGGTGTTTTGTTGAAGTTATAGTTTTACCTTTATATTTGAGTTAGAATAAAATGCTTAGTTTTCAATTACCTATGACTAGTCAGATACGGATAAAGAATTATTATACCTTCTACTTAGGTTGATATTATATTTATATAGATGTAGGTATATGATGCCCTGTCACATGGCAAGAAAAACACAATTTTAATTACTTTGGGCCCATTTTTCAATGCTCAGTTAAATTTTATCAGAGGTATAACTTTGAATAATTATTTGACAATTAGTCCTTGAATTAACTGATGATTGAAAAATCAAGTGTTAGTAATTCTTATGTTTATATAGGGCCTATTTTTCAATCATCAGTTAATTCTTAACTGTAGAATAAAATTGACATTAAATTTGACAGTTATTAGTATGGAAGGTTTGTCAACTAATCAAAATTATTAAGCTGTTAAAATTTAACTAGCGTTGGACAAATCGACCCTAAACGTAACTTGTAAACTATTATGAATGTAATAATATTAAGTGTCTCCTGTAGCATAAGTGAAGGTATTTAATATTTAAGGTGAAAGGAATAATCACACAATTTTGTTTCTGTTACTTTCATTATTACAAAAATTCTATTATTTACTTATATTGTGTTGTATTTATTTATAAGTTTTATTTGTTATTTTTATTTTATTATGTAGTTAGATATACTCACGTCACTAACTTTAAAATTAAACAAAAATAAACATTTCGGGTAATGAATAACTAGACAATAATATTAAAATCGATTAAATTATCCGTACTATAATTATGAGTATATGATTTAATTAGATAGTTTTAAACCTTATTTCAAATAATGACTCGAAATATATTTAAAGTTTAAATAACATTATTTACCATTTACATAGCTCATGTACTATTTCATGTATGTATGTAGACCTGGCTTAAAGCCAACAAATATGAGAACAGTCTATTGTTGCACTGAAAACTACAGTAAAGATTAAAAATATTTTTAAAAAGCGAGTTCAGTTTGCCAAAACTGTGGGTCAATGACCCGTGACAGGGTTAGTTCAAACTCTAAAGAGGTTCAGTTACCCCATGTGAGTGAACTTTCCATTCTGGCAATCGGTTAAAATAATAAAGTAAATACTTAAAGAAAAATCTAATATTTTTAAAAATCTTCGCCCACGCAAATGCAATAATAATTAAGTATGATTTTTCCCCCTCAAAAAAGAAGGTAAAGGATAGACAAATATGCGTCAGTTACAATAAACAAGGGACTATAATATTGAATGAGTAATGGTATGTAAAACAACTGAAAATCACTATAATAATGTGACTAATCATAGTTAAAACCAAAATAAAGAAATTACGTAAACACATAAAATTAAAATGGAATTCTGTGATAACATCGCAGTTGCTTTAATGAATGACATACCTACTTACAAATAAAATATTTACCTCCCTCTAATAAACTCCTCAGCTATACAGCCAAGTAACTTCTGAGAAAAAAAAACCATAAATATTTAAAAAATAATTTTCTTAAGTTTCGAATAGATAGCAAAAGCAGTGCTTCCCACACTAGAATTTTCTCCGGTGTCTTGTGGAATATGTGGGGCCTATGTAATCTGTTATTATATATGTATTGTCCTCTGTGTTGAATGTGTTTACATAAATAATAAATAAATACATAAATAAAATAGATTCGTAATTTCAAGGTAAAGATTAACAGACAGAGTTACTTTCACATTTATGAACACAAGTTTTAGTATGTTGAACCCGGAAAATGTTGCTAGTCATTTAAAACGAAAATCTTTTCACAATTTTGAGTATACAGAAAGTTTCGAAACTGCTGCAAATATAACACGCGCCCGCAGACGGACAGACAAACCGATTAACCTATATTGTAGTGTAGCTTTTTTGTTACTAAATATAACTGGTTGGAGGAATCCCGGCTGGCAACAGATTAGTTCCAGTCCAGTTTTAATTATTTTATGTACCAGCGTAGATACATATGTCTGCTTGGTTTTTTGAAAATTGTTTATATCTTAGAAATACCAAAGTGTCAGGAGTATTTTTTAACGTCGCCCCACTCTAGTATTTTCTGCCGCGGAGGACTTAACGGGTTGCCGGGGCTGCGGCTCGACGTGCAGGAGTAGGAACGGGGTGGTTTTAGTCAGTAAGAGTCTGACACTCGCTCCCGCCTCACCCAGGCGGTAGAAGTCAAAAAGACACTAGTAGTATCTCGATAACGATAACGTCCTATGTCTGGTGGACCAATATCACCAAAAGTATGTTAATAATAGATATGACCATTATTTACTTACGATCAACTAATATCAAAATAAACAAAACATTCGGTAATCCCCACTCGGCGTTAAAAACATATTTTCATAGATTTCTCCAAAAAATATGATTAATGTTATCATAGTTCTAATTCTTCTACAAAATCTACAGATAATGACGAACTGTATCTATTCTAATAAATTCTAAACAACAATATTATATTTATCTAAATACGTACGTAATCTAAATTAATATTACATGTATTCTGTGAAAACCAATATTATCTTCCCAATCAGCACTTCGTCGATTCCTGAAAGAAAGAAATAATTCACGGAAATGAACCGATTTCATTTCATTTACAGAGTAATCAAGTTTCATAATAAAGATCTAGTAATCTTTTTACTGAACTATTACTCAAAATTAATTAATCATTGTTTACTATTATTAATCATTGTTGGTTAATAACTTATCAGGTATTATTTATTTATTAGAGCAACTGATATCGTTTTACTATTTCTTAGTTTATCGACCCGTGATCCTATGATATTATTGATTAGAAATGATCTAGTAGTTTTCAACATTAGCACTTGTTTATGGAACCTAATTAAAATAAGATAGGTATATATGGTATTAAGAAATACGCAATTATTTAATAGTTAGTCTGTTTCTTTGTTTACTCATTGGTTACAATCCCAGACTTAGTGATTAGTACATAGTGAGTTACTGAATATATAAATTTACACAATAAAAATATCGAAATGCTTTCTTTACCCGATCTGAACATGAAATCTGAAATCGTTTTTCTAATAAGTACCCTGAAATGTGTTATTACAATATGAACTCTATAGATACTACTTTTAAATTCGTGTTAAAGTAAACAATACAAAAGGTAATCTCTATTAAAATGGATGCCAAAATATGACAAGTTGAAGGTTCGGAAATACGCACACCATACGTGCACCTTCAGTAAGGCCAAACTTGTCTAAAATAAACATAGACCACTTGACCTGGTCTCACTCGAACAATGACCTTATAGGCATAATTTTAGAATTCATTATAGAAGTAAACAGAATACTATAGATATCTATAATGAAGTACTTTCTCAATAAGATTGAAGATAAGTTCTTATTGTCTGATGAAGGTGTACAGTCTTCAACGGTACATAGATATTTTGCTGACATTAAGATCGGTACGATCGCGCGATATTGCTTAGGTATATAATCACATATCAAGTAATTATCGAGTGAGTGTGTTTTTACTAATAACGAAGTAAACACCTAATGAGAAAGGAATTGCCAACTGTGCTATACTGTACTACACTTGGGTGCAATAAACTTTATAGTTACATTATCCGAGTGATCTTTTCTCTGCACACTCCAACATCAACTACAAGTGTACGAACTGTACATTTTTTGGTCCTTCGAGCCGGATTTCTTGGTGCATTGTTGAGCTTTTAAACGGGTGCGAATCGGAGCAGCTGGCCTCTCAGAAGCGAGAATCCCCAGTTGTTTTGAGAAGGCGCACATCCCGTATCTAAGGCGGCAAGGCACTGGGTTTTCCAACGACCATTCCAAGTCGAAGAAGAAAACTTATTCAAGGTTTGGAACTGGGAAGACTAGACTCAACTGAGCAGTCTTCGTGTCGTCGAACGCAACGC